GAGTCGTGGGTGGAGACAGCGCTGCACCGCACACTCCTCTTCATGTTAGCTCGCAGCCTAACATTAGCTTGCTTACGAGCATTGCAACCCGCTTACGCACATGCTTGTTCTGCCATTGTCCTACCGTGGCTCTGGGGGCGGAGCTTGGATTGGTTACATATGAAATCTCACTGTTTCTGAACCTGCTGTTTGGATCTGCCAGATATTCACAGTGATTTGGATGAAGAAATACTCAGAAATATGAATATGAACATATAAAAAACAAGAAAAACATGATTTTCATTGGAGTGGGTATATGAGCTGATAGGCTTGTTCTTGGCCAGAGAATGGCTGGACCAATCAGCATCATTGAAGGGGTAAAGGCTGGTGTAGAGAGCTTTGGCCAAGGCTGCTGGAATGCTGTGATTTTGTGGCTTTAGTCCTGGTCAAATATTCTGAAGAGTGACTTTAATTCACATATTTCTTTTCTCAGAATCATTCCTTGGTGACACGCCCATTACAAACAAAGTTTAAGGAAGTTTTAAAAAGTCCGTCATGAAGGTTTTTTCCCTTACTGAGAAACATCTGCAGCTGCTGATGGATTCTGGGAAAAACAGGTTTGTGACTTCCATCCATGCTCAGCTCAGTTTTTCTTTTCTGTCATGTGTCCTGGTCGGTCTGGTTATCCATCATGTGATATGCTTTAAAAAGAAAAATAATTACCTCTATCCTCTATCCTTCAGCACCCCTGTGTCACAAACACACACACACACACACACACACACACACACACACACACACACACACACACACACACACACACACACACAGTTTCCTCCCTCTCAGGGTTCATCTCACACAAACTCTCTCTTGCCTCCTGAAATGAATCATGGGACGTCAAACGATTCACACCACCATCAGTCAACCTGCTCAACAACCCTGAGAAAGGGCACACACACACAAACACACACACACACACACACACACACACACACACACACACACACACACACACACACACTGTGCTTCCATATATGTGATTCAAGCCTTAGTTACCTGACAAACACACTCTTGGCTTCTAAAACAAAAACACATCTTTCATTTGCACACTCACACACTTGTTGAGTCTCTCACACACTTGTTTGGTCTCCCTATCACACACTGTTCTGTTTCTCTCACACACGCGTTCCGTCTCTCACACACTTGTTTAGTCTCTCACACATTGTTCTGTCTCTCTCACACGCTTGTTTGGTCTCTTACACACTTGTTCAGTACCTTTCACAAACACATTTACACACTCGTTTAGTCTCTCACATACTGTTCTGGCTCTCTCACACACTTGTTTGGTCTCTCACACACACTTGTTTGGTCTCTCACACACTTGTTCAGTCCCTTTCACACACACATTTACACACTTGTTTAGTCTCTCACACATTGTTCTGTCTCTCTCACACACTTGTTTGGTCTCTTACACACTTGTTCAGTCCCTTTCACACACACATTTACACACTTGTTTAGTCTCTCACACATTGTTTGCTCTCTCTCACACACTTGTTTGGTCTCTTACACACTCAGTCAGTCCCTTTTACACACGTATTTACACTCTTGTTTGGTTTCTCACACACACTTGTTGAGTCTCTCTTACACACTTATTCAGTCTCTCACACATCTGATTGGTCTTTCACACACTCACACACTTGTTTAATCTTCCACATGCTCATTCACACACTCGTTCAGTCTCTCTCACAAACCCTCAAACATGCCCTCCTCTTCATTGTTTCATGAATTTTAATGCGCTTTTGTCTCGTTAGTCTGCAGAACAGATGGACTGTATGAGGAGATCTGTTAACACACTTGAAGTTTGTGATCCTGAGATGAACTTTGTAGAACTATTGAACTTTTTATTAACAGATTGTAACCTGCAGCAGAACAGTAACAATATCTGTCAGCAAAGGTGTGCCACATGGCTCCATAGTAGGTCCTCTTTGGTTTGCTTTTAAAGTGAGACACAGGGGGTTGCACACACTTTGAAAAAAATACCTGCTAACCCTTTGTTACTCTCTCTCTCTCTTTCTGTGTTTGTCTTCATGCTGATCCTTTTGTTTGCATCACTCCCTGCATGTGTGCTTCTGTCTGTAACATCTTTGTTATGCAAATCCATACACACCTGTTTGCACCCTCACCTTAATTCCTGTCTGCACACCCTCTGAGCCTTTTCTTCACTGTCTACCCTCCTACCCCCTCTTTTGTATCCTCTCTCTCTCCTCTCCTCCGTTTTCTCTCAGACTCTCTTAATTTTCTCATCGCTCTTGCCTTTTTCTCTGCACACCTCTCCTCCATTTACTTTTGATTCTTATCTTTTATTCTCTACTTCTCCTCTCTGGTCCTCCTTCTCTCCTCTGCTCTCAATTGGACATCAATTAATTCCTCCCACTTTCATCCTCTCCTGCCCTCGGCTTGTTTCTGTTTACTCTTTTACGCCCACGTCCTATCCATCTCATCTTGAAGTTCACGGTCCCCTCTCTGAACAGAGTGAATATTCAAATTTATCCACCAAAAACATTTAAACTGGGAAATAAATACAGATTCAAGTTTGGACAATCAATGGACTGACAGGAAATAACAAAATATGGTAAGAGAACCTTGATACTGAAACTCCTCCTGATATCTTATTAAAATGTTATTTTTTTCTCTGATATCCTACTCTGTAAATCGGCTCAGTCTCACACAGTGCAATGTTAAACTACCTGAATGCAGAGCTTCAAACTAAAGAAGATCACAGATGATGGTTTTATTTCCCAACAGTGGATGCAGACCAGTAAAACACTGGAACAAGCACGGCAAGCTCTTCAGGAGGATTTTAAGAATCCTTTTGGTCCAAAATAAATAAAGTGGAGGAGCTTGTTTGGCCCCATAACAGTCTCTGTTTTGGAGAAATAAGACATCAACTGTTCAACAATTTCCTATGAACTGTGGTTCGTCTGTACATGAGCAACTGTCCACTTCACTCCCAGTCATAATCACAAATGTTTTAGGTTCAATAAAAAGTTATGCAGTAGCTGGCTCACTCATTTATTCCTCTTGCTGTCTTGCTGTCATAAACTGGTTTGTTTTGCAGTTTAACTGTGTGCTTTTAAAGACAGAGGACAGTCCTGGTTCGTTCTGGTGTATTTAGACAGCCCTGGTTTGCTTGTTGGGACCTCCGTCATCATAATGACTTCTTAATGGTTGACTCTAATGTTACTGCATCACTGTGAATCCTACAAAAAGCTTGGTCCTCTTACCTTCAAAACAAGTGGATCCGCAGAAGAATCACCTTCGGACACTCGTCAATATATGGTGTCTCGCTTTTGTACTCCGTGCTGCCAGAACAATCACACAATGATTCCTCACGACTGCTTAAAAAAAAAACTGGGTGATTATATAATCGTGATTAATGATCATGATAAATTTCAGTTTGATCACGGTGATCAGCTGGGAGCATATTACTTGATTTACTCGGCAGAAATGTGAATGACAACAACCAATCAGAGTCGAGCTTTTCCTGCTCACTTCTGTAAGTTGCCAGATATGTAAACAGGAGAAGTGAACAGAATGACCGAACTTGGAGCCAAACGTGGAGCTGAAGGAAACAAAAAAAAAACGTCACCATGACTTGAGTCATCCTCAAAAGATGCCATTGCTGAGAAGAAAAGTTATTCAACTGCGGTTGTGTGGCGGTGGTTCAGGTATCTCCAAAAAGATGTCAAGCAATTAAGCCGATGTGAAGGGTATGTCGGCAGTTGAGCCCTCAAAAAAACAGCAACACAACAGATCTGCTTAATCATTTTAAGAAGTCCTTCCCGAGTGATTAAGCGTAAAGTGTGAAAATGTGAGTTTGCACAGCCTGCCACTGCTGACGGCCCTAGTAGCATTAGCCTTTTAGCCACAACTAGCTGTGCAGCCACCAGACCAAAGCAGCAATTGTATATCTACATTTACATCATCTAATGTTTACATTTCAAGGCATTTTCATTATCTCTGAGGCGGCGATTTTCTTATTTTGGGTCTTGCATACCTGCAAAAACACTCAAGACTGTAAACTAGTTCACTGTATTATTTAATATTTATCGATATTTGCTTTACTGTTGGGTTAAAATGGTTTTAATATTTTTCTTAGTTTATCTCATTCAATTTGCTTTTTTATTGACTTAGATAGATTAATCTCTAGTTTCTTCAGTTTTAAGTACAGACACTTTAAAGCTGGCAGTTAGTAAAAAAAGATAGTCCAGATCGGACAATATGGCAAAGTATATTGTGATCATTTTTTTTGGGCCAAATCGCCCAGTCCTACTGCAGAGTCATTGGGGCAACCTTGTACCTAAATCAATATTCTGGGACCATATGACCCAGACTGCAGTGACCCTGTAGGTTTGCATCTCCTATCTTAATGTCCTTTTTGGTTTTCTGTCTCTGACATTATCAGACAGATCAGGAACAGAGGCTTGTAGCCTGCAGACGGATTTGCCGTGAGGTGTTTGATGCTCCCTGCTGGAAATGACACCTGCAAAAACAAATTGGAGTAAAAAGTGAGAAAGTGCAGAAATTAAATGGTTAAATGAAGCCTGAGTACTGGGGCATTCACACCAAACGCAAGGAAAATCATTTACTCGCTTTATTTGCTCTATTCGTGAGAATCATTTAGTCTATTCATGTGATTCGCGTGTCAACAGGGTGCTTAAAAGCCGTGGATGGCCGTTTATGCTAATTTCAACAGTGATCCTCACCGATCAATTGATAGACAATAGTATTTCACAATTTATCAGATGATCTGACCTCCTCACTCACTTTCCTCCAGGCAAGCTCTTTTCTATTCCTGTTTTTATTAAAAAAAGCCTTGGATACGAGAAAGGGGGAAAGTCTCCATCAAGCATGGTAGGAGTGAACCACATTCAGCGGATTGCTGCTTTGTTTTTGTTGTAGAAGGCCCACAACTGTAGATGTAGGCGCCGCTGTGTCTGGGTCTCCTCCAATAGCTGCGCCCAGATTACATCCTTTTCCAGCTGTATTTTTGGGTTACCCAAACCCAATTTGACGACCTGTTGGTGAGGGTCGGTGCCCGGATGTCTCTCCAGGATACCAATGACAGGAGCTCTATCCCAGCTGCAGAGCGCCTGTCCATCTGTCCACTGTGAGTAAACAGATTTGTGTTTATATTTTTTCAAACCAGTCAACATCTTCCGATCTGATTTAATGTATCACCCAGGAATCTTCATGCTGATTGGATATCAAGTTTAGATATTTTCAACTCTCGCTTAATTCGCACAAATACCTCACTCAATTTGCGCCCCCCCCAATTTACGACATTTGTGCCATCAGAGTAGTATGTGCATCTTGTCGCGTCTTTGCATTGACTTTACATGTAATCCATTTGTGCAAATGGTTTAACTTACCCTTGGTGTGAACGCCCCTTTAAGCCTGAGTTAAACTGGACCACCTCCTCTGGTCTGTTTGGAGTCACAGGGAAAATATTGTTGTCTGCAGAGAGTTTATCATCACACCATCTTCATGCACAGCAGATAAAGTCTGATCTTCTTCTGGTTACAGGCTTTCCCCTGTTTCCTTCCCCCTCTCACTCCTCCTCCCTTAACTCCCCCTCCTCTCCTCATTTCCCCCTCTCTCTGGTGCAGCACCGTGGATATCAGTCTCCAGCTTGCTCTCTCCTCCCAGGAGGAGCTGAAAGCAGCAGGCTCCATTCATAATGCATAAAAGTTCCAACACCAAAAACACATTTTTCTTCTTACAGTGTGTTTCTATGAGCAGCCTGCAGCCCAGGAAAAGGAACGATGAACCGGCACAGCTGGAATTGCAGACTCTGCTTTCACAAAACCACAGGAATCCTCAGGTGAGCCGAGAAAGCAGAGGATGCGCCACTGTGGAGGCGCAAAGAGATGACTATTAATGAACTGCAAGACATGGACGCACTTTATTATCCTGGAATCTGACTCAGCATCATTAGGGGGAAATGACAAATCTGCTTCAGACTTTTTTCTCCCTAAACAAGAAATGTTTAATCTTTAACAACAGCTGAAACTCAGTATTTTTAGTCAAATAAAAGACGACAGATGGAGGATCTGTTGGTCTAAGAGGAACCACAGAAATCCTGACTGAACCCCCATGACTTCTATTTAAAGATCCATCTCAATTTTCCAGAATGGTCTGGCTCAAATAAACTTGAATATCTGAGAAATCTGAGTAAGAACAGGAAGGACCTGTGATAATGCTTCTTGGGCACTTGAGCTTCGTTCCGATCGCACTGCAGTTCCCTTCTAAGTGAGCTGCACAGGGTATACAGCCATCTTAACTGAGGTTCCAAACCGCAGGGAGCACGAATGTTCCGTTCAAAAGGAACCGAGAGGGGTGCAGGGAACAACTGAACAACCATTGTACAGTTTGCCAGAAGTTTATGAGCCTTGTTAACCGTGATGCATTGCGCTCTCTCACTGTGGCAGACTTTACAGAACGGGTAGGTAGGCAAAGAGAATCAATCAATCAATTAAACTTTATTTATATAGTACTTTTCAGACAAAAAGAAATGCAGCACAAAGTGCTTTACAATTTTAAAACAATGAGCCCCCCCATATCCAGCCTGCAACCCCACCCCCCAACCCTCACTGAGAGCCCACACCCCAACACACACACACACACACACACACACACACACACACACACACACACACATAGGTTATCACCGGGGTGTGTGGGATTTGAGGCTTCAGCGGATATGCATGCAGTGATTCCTCCTCAGTGATCTAATTCATAAAGGGAATATCAGAAAAAACAGAATCACTCACTTTGATTGGATTTCATATTGTCTTATATCGAGCTGTGATCTTCATCAATCTCAAGATATTAATTTGCTCTCAAATTTGGGTTTCCAGGGGAAACTCTGCAGAGTAAACTGAGGCCGGCTACTGCAGAGTGAGGCTTGCACACGAAGAAAGAGAACCTGATTCCTCATTTTCTGGTGGCTGGCATTAATGATCAACGATGGCTCAAATTGGTCTTCATTTGGAGGGACGAGCTAAAGCAAAGGGACAAAACAAATGCGAAATATGTAAACACTGCAAATCTAATGCAAACCAAAAGATGCAGAATTTTTTTGTGGAAATGATAGTGCAGCAGCCAAGTACACATTTTAGCCAGAATCATTCAATTGGTGATACAAGCATGAAAGTTGGGATGAACATTCTCCATGGGTCTCTTGACTAGAAAGGTGTCCCAAGCTGCTTGAAATTTCCTGATGGTGGCATCTCATTACAGCAGTAATATCATGGGAAGTTGCTGATATAAACATGAAAACATTCTCCATAAGTCACTTCACAAGAAAATGCTTGACTGTGTTTTGTCCAACTCCTCGCCCTCGACCTGTGCAATTTGGTAAAACCTGGCAGGAGTTGCCTCTCAATGGCATAGCCTTTAGGGTTCACAGAAGTATGCAAGCTCCCTAACCACAAAAAGTTAAGTCACAAGGGAGTTTTTTTTTTAAATTTTTTAACTATTTTAAAACTTATTCAAAGCAAACTTTTTTCTTTCTGACAAGGGGAAGGTAAACAAGGGGAAGTAGTCCTGGCAAAAAGAATACACACATAGGCAAATACATAGACATGTGCAAGTGAGTCCATATTTGAAGCTCTTGCATCGTCCAGTACATTCCTTGGTGCACGCACATTTGGTCAACTCCCAACAACTCTCTGCAACAAGAGGAGTATAAAAGATTTTCCATTTGTTATCTTCTTTTATCCATCCCCAGTCAGATGGGCTTAGCATTTCTTGCATTTGCTTCGATTCCTGTCCCTACACATATCCAGCCTCATAAGCTGCACGTTTGGTGTACTCTTTCAGTGCTGCTTGACTTGGTGGGATCAGGTCATACAGTCTTTCCTTTCTTGCAAATAGATCAAGCTTTGCCTCATTGACAGTTGTGACATAACTGGGTCTGTTGTACATCACCACAACAAATCTCTCCAATGCTTAGTCTCCCATGAAGAATGCTCATGCCAATTTTCATGCTTGTATCATCAACTGAACGATTATGTCACTTATCTGCTTCACTGTGCAATTTGATTTGAATTGTGACTTTTCTCTCTCTTCAACTCTGAAATGCTTCACCTTTATCTTTATATTTTTAAATGATCTAAAATGAATGGTCTGAGGCTCATGGTGCAAAGTATAACTGAGAGTGTCCCACTGCTTAAGTGGTCCAAAATCTGGAAGTTAAGTGAGGGTCAGGGTGCAGGAGGTGTCTACATCATCTTTAAATCCCTTTCCCAGGATTTCTGCCACTCAGCAAATCTGCTCAAGCAGACCGGAGGCTTCAGCCAGCACATTTAACCCTCTCCTCATCAATCCTGCAGACTTGGAACAATCAGATACCTGACAATAAAGTTCTGTTGTTAACATGTTCTGAAGAGTACAATTAAGTGACACAGGTGCACCAAAAGGACCAGATTCTTGAACAATGAGTCCGAGCTGAATGGGCTAAAAGGTGACTTGTCAGAGGTCAAAAACCTTGTGAGATTGGTGTCTGTCACTTCAGCTAACAAGTTTCCAGTCTTTAAAAATCAGAAACAACAGTCTTACAGCTGAAAGAGAGAGTTTCCACAACTCAAAGAGACCCAAGCTTGTACGTTTCCACAATGCGCCTGAGAACCTGGAAGGGTCGACGATGAGGAATCCATTCAGGAAAACAAGGACCAGGACAAACATGATGGAAAAACACAGTATTAGGCTTGGCGATATTTGTGCAGTAGTCACAATCCTGTACATTTCCTATTTAATCTGTGGAGGACTTTAGTACAATACTGAAGCTCTGGGTAAAGGGGACCCCTGATGACCAATGGGTACCGTGTACTCACTAGCTTTACCCGAAGAACCCTTTACTACTTATCAATTCATGCAAGTAAACCTGACTGAAGAGGTCTGATTTGAAGTATATAAGCAAGGCAACGCATGACTATGTGTGTGTGTGTGTGTGTGAGCTGATGTAAGTCTTCCTGCATTGAGCACAGACAGCAGCCCTGTAAAAGCCTGTATCTATGTGAACCTTTTTAATTACCCTCATGTCTTTGATCTCATCCTAACGAGGAGAAAATGAGGTGTTAACGAGCCCCGTCAGGCTCTGGGGGACTTTCAGCCACTAATCACTCCATGGGAAAAGCTGTGTGTGTGTGTGTGTGTGTGTGTGTGTGTGTGTGTGTGTGTGTGTGTGTGTGTGTGTGTGTGTGTGTGTGTGTGTGTGTGTTAAAGGTTCAGGTATTTCCCTGTAAACTTTGTAAGGACTCCGCTGTAAAGCCTCTTCAAACGTTTGACTAAAGCTTGTTGTGACTTTTTAAACTTGTACGTTCTCCTTGAAAAGCTTCTTTAAAACTTAAGTTCCCAGAATCCTCCTCTTCACACTCTCTGATCAGTCTGAAAAATCACAGAACCTTGAGCATATTTAAAAGAGAAAACCTCAAAGTGTTGAAAATGAAACTACTACAGAATCACATAAAAACTGCAGTTCCTTAGGTGTCCTGTAGACGATACATCAAAAAGATAATTGAGACCGATCAGGTCTAATATAAAAAAAAAGAGCAGAATTAAACAGCCTGGTTTAATGTTGAGTACTGGTCTTAATGGTTCACTTTTTAATCAATAAAATTTCCCAAAAGTCTAATTTATATTCATGCTCACACTTGTGCAAAAAGTTGCATATTTTAGATTTAATGCCAACTGTGAGTCTACCTCCACTACACTAGGTGGCACTATACTCCACCCACACTGCCATCTCTCAGTTGACTTATTACGTCCAAAACGATCTGTATGTGGTCTACAGTGGCCTTCAGCAGGTCAGGATTTCTGGGTTGGCTGTTCCTCATCTTCCCCTAGACAAATATGCCACTGACTCTCTTTGGGGTTCAGGATCAGACAGATATTTATGCACCATAGTATTAATGGCCATCAGTCTGCAGGGGTTCTGGTTCTGTAAGCAGGTATCACACCTGGCTGGAAAAGAAGATCACAGTAAGATCGAGTTTTTCTGTCAAGATATTGAGATTGTTTTAGAAGCAGAGCAGTTGGTGCACACTGACACTGTAAGTCTATGGGCTCTATTTTGGTGCCTCGCCGGAGACGTGCCGCAAGCGCAGCGTCAGTCAGATCCGCCGCGCTGACAAGGCGTTCCCAAGCACATTTTGGTATTTTGGTGAGCCGCGCAGCCCGGTGTAAGTATCCCCCCTCCCTAACTCAGCTCCTCCCAGCACCATAAGTCGTAGACGGGGCGTGTAGCTGGTTTAACACAGCCGAGACCTGTTTTCACCAATCACATAGGCTCCTCTCCTTGCCTTTAAATCCGCCACAGGCGAGGTGTATTACTATTTTCATGGAGTAGTCAGAGAGATCAAGAGATGTCTGAAGACAGTAATGCCACAAGATGGCGACAGAGGGCAGCTCCTCAACAAGTGTCCTCCACACTCTCTCATATGAGCACAGATGGATTTAGTGTGCGTAATGTTGGACCCACTGGTAAGACAAACACCCGTTTCCACAAATAAAGACACTCACATAAAGTTGCTCATATTCAAACCTCACGTGACAAAGGTGGGTTGAGCGCACAGATCACAACATAAACTCCAAAAATGGCATTAAAATCGGAACCATCTGTGCGTAAATGACCCATCGCGCTCCGTGGCCTGGCTCTTTCTGTCAGAGATGTTGGCATATAAAATAAATTTGGCTCACAAAACTGAATATTATAATATCCGTATGTCGGCTTAAAGTAGATAACGCATCTGAGCACTGAAACAAATCATCTGTTCAGCTGCAGCAGCAGCAAGACGGACAGAGGACACGGAGACGTGTCCAGGTCGAGCTGTGCGAGAAATAAGAGGAAGAGGAAGAAAGAAAAGGAGGGAGACGAATTACATATCTTGTTAACTTCATCATGTGTGTATATTTACTAGATATTTAATTTAATTTGATGCGGTTTCAGCTGTGTTGATTCGGTCAGGTTGTGTGTCCAAACGCGTGCCAAACGCGTTCATCAGATCAGATATAGATCAGAATATATCGATATAGATCTAAATGTATGTGCTGACTCTGATTAATAGTTGATGATGATTATTTATTGCACTGAAATGTGCCTGGCACTGTGGAAACCTGCCGGTGAGGCATCAGTGACGTATGTCGATACGCCGCCGGTCTACCAAAATACTACAAGACCAGCTGCGTTCCGCCTTGCGCTGAAAGCTGACCAGGTTTGAATCGGTGAGCTTTCAGCGCACTTTACACGCCGTTGGCGAGCACGAAAATGTCACTGCGCCAGCTGATTCTGTCGAAACCTCCCCCTGCCACGCCACCACGCCCAGCTTGGCGGATCTCGGCTCGCCTCCGTGCGGCTCATGCCACGAAAATACCAAACTGGCCTTACGCTGGGCTCCGCCAGACGAAAATACAACTGCGCGGGGCTCGCCGCCCTCCGCCGCCTCACCGGCGCGCACGAAAATAGAGCCCTATGTGTTTGTGTGTGTTTGAGTGTGTTTGTCTGAGTGCAAGAGGGACTAATAGAGAGAAGGAGAGAGAGAGAGTTGGCCAGCAGTGATGAAGTGCAGAAGCTTGACCTTTGACCTTACCCCACACTGCTGCTTACCTTAACTTAATTTAGGACTTTCACCTTCACCCCTGATGTAAACCGTGGAGGATTGAAGGTGAAGGATCTCTGACTGTCAGCAGGACTACAGTCTTTGTGTCTGCCAGCTCAGAGTCTAGAGAGGGAGGATGCTTCAGTATCACAGCGCAGCAGTCAGGACAGCGCGGGGTTAAACAGCAGCTGTGCACGATACAAGAAACCAACTCCAAACATTTGCCACAGACAAGAAATCCTAAATAGGTACAGAGCTGAATTTTTTTTTTCATGCCTCAGAAACTTTCAGCAAATGCAGCCCAAAAGTTGTGGACTCAGAGTGGACCTTTTTATGTTCAGGCTCAAACTTTAAAATTATAATTCTAAGGGCCTTAACTACTAAAGGTCTGCACGTGCAAAGACACATGCAACTTGACAGCGCATGCAAACCGGATCTACTAACCGTATGCACCGAGGATTGCATCTGTCAAATGAGCAAAACAGCGTGCGCAATCGATTTACCGTGTTTGCCTTCATGAATATGCAGAAAGCATGTGGATCATCAGAACCCGCAAAATACTGGGAGGAGCAGATGCAAATGAGCACCTGCAATGTGATTTATCAAACCCGGACACAGATTTCAGTCGCTGTTTTGTGTCTATATTTAGCACATTTGAAAGGCATGTGCAAACTGGCACAGCATTACGCATGCATTACGTCATTGTGGGGAGAAGGATGCAGAAGTGCCATGATAGATGCCGTGATTCTCGACCAAAAGCTTGAGATTTATTTTGTTTTTCTGGTAAATGAGGATTTTCATAAATAATAAGGTGAAACATGGAACAGACCAAAAAACTATCTGTTGTCCTACTGATTTAAAATTGTTTTAATCCCTTTTTTGATTTCTAGTACATTTTCTTGCATCTGTAAAGCTCTTTGAATTGCCTTGAGTATGAATGGTGCTATACAAATAAACCTTGGTTGTCTTTTATGCAGTTCCCCAAAACGATATGTGTAACTCCACGGCTTCAAACTTCATTTTTTGGCTACGACCACTCTGCTCTTACAAACTCTCCATGGTGACAGCTGGTAGCACACGCAAAATCTTCATTTAAATAGGGCAGTCCACACCACAATACACTTGTTATCAATTGCGCACACAATGATAGTAGATCACCCGCAACATGCCCACTAATAGCACATGCAATTTTTTTGTTCGCACACACAATTTAGCCTTTTGCTGTTTGGGATCTAAGTAGATCAGGCCCTAGGACTCTTGCAGTTTAGAAGAGATCTGGTCTGGATTTGCTGAGACACTTTCTGACAATAATCAGTCTTTGAGGGAATTCAAACCAACGGTTCAGTGAAAAGAACAGGCTTCAAAGATAGTTGACTGAGTCACCTCAAGGAGATTTTCTGTTTGTCGAAGAAACATCAGACTTGAAAAACTGCAGATTTCTGCAAGCTGAAAAAAACTTCAAGTTTGTCTTTATTGAGTACTGACTCAATGAGACAGTGGAAACTGAGATGATGGGCTTGAGAAGAAACACGTCACTTTGTGAAAAACTGGAAACTGTCACTGATCGATCTTATTCAGACCATCAGCTGCCAAATACTTCAGCTCTCGAGATTAGGAACCAGTGTTCAGGACACCAGCTGCAACCACATGTAGACGTTTCTGGTTTGAGCTGGTTTTAGCTTTAATGTGAATGAATTCACACGGTGACAGAGTTGGTGTTTTCAGCAATTTCCTCCCATGCCCTCTCCCTCTCCTTTGCAGCTGCTGCTGTATTGCACTTTCTTTTAAAAACATGCTGTAATTCACCGTTGGCTTGCTGCTGCCCCCTCCTGCTCCCTGTTTCCATTGGTTGATCAATGAATCTGGGCTCCACAGATGCTGGCTGTTTATGTCTGGCGTGCATGTGCTTAAGTCCAGGTGAAACTACTCGAAGTTGCTAAAACTGACTCAAATCAGGTTTTGTGAAACCGGAAACTCAGAGTTTCCTATCTCAGAGTAGATCAACTCAGAGTTAAGGATTTGACTCAGAGTTTGTTGAACCACCTACGTGAAACGGACCCCAGAACATCTGGTTGCTTCTTGCTCTGACTGTGTGTGATTTTCTGTGTGTTTGTTCCCACTTCTTCTTTCTGATGTTTCCAACACATCAAACTCTCATCTAATAAGACGATCAATAGATTGTCAAAGAGGAGCGTCTGATCCAGAGAAAAATCTCCTGAAGGTTAAAGAAAGCTTCTGTTGTGAAGATAGAGAGAGAGGGTGAAGCAGTGTGGCCAGCTGCAGAATCCACCTACCTCGACAACTCTGGATCTTCCGAATCCCGCACTTTGAGAGCAGATAAGACACATACACACACTTTGCACCTACCTGGGTAGCAACAGTAAAAAGACACTGAAGACACAGAAATTCAATTGACATTGATACACAGAACACACACCTCGGATCCCCTCAACGGAAAACCCCAGAATTCTGAGCAGGAGAGCTCAGTGTCCCATTTAAGTTTTTATTTTTTTTCTTCTCTGGCGCCTTGTTATTTTGAACAGTGAAATACCAGGTTGTTGATGTTTATTTTTATTTTTTTTGTTTCTCATTGATATTAAAATATCACCTGTTCAAATCACTCCTCTTTATTCGAGTCATTCACCCAATTCCTACCGAACCTAGAGATGTGAGTATCCATTAATTCTCCAAGTAGGACTAAAGGTGCTACACAAAAACTTGGCGAGCCAGCCAGGAGGAGTTGGTGATTGAACAGTTGACATTTTCTTTTGCCTTCATTAAAAAAAAAAAAAAAGAAAATTGTGTTGATGTAAATGATATCATGGATGTTATTGAGGCTGAAAATGTGAAAGTACCAAACTCAGTCTTAGTTGACGGTTTAACCGGTGGGGAAATAGACAATGAGGTCTTCGATTACTTAGGGCAGTGCGGTCCCATCGAAAGGATGATCAAAGTGAGCAGTTCAAAAACTATCGTAGAGTTCAAGTCAGGTGAACCCATTCAGTTTCTGCAGAGCACCTTGCCCTGCAGGAGACCCATGAGTAACCCAAACGTCGCTAACGACATTCAGTGCCTCTCTGACTTTTATGCAGCTGACAGAAGTTCAGCCTTGACACACACTTTTTTTGCTGAGCTAAAAGGTATTGCTAAGCTAAGTGGTGCTCACTTTGAGAAGGTTTTGCTCCAAGAGTTGACCAGACTCCGTGAGTCTAATAAACCCCAGGCAGCCGAACCAGGTGCGTTTAGAATCGACCATGAACCTCAGTCAGCCGGAGACTTAACCTCAGCGCCGGCAGTGACTAACCTGAACCAGACTCCTGTTAAAGTGATTACTGACGAAACTCACTCACACGAACATGACTCTGTTTCACTCCCTGCACCCTGTAGGTGCAGAGGCTCTCCCCTCACCTAAGAAACCAAGTTTGTACTTACCCTCGGAATATCTCACCACACCTGAAGTCCAAAGGGTAGTGGTAGAGCATGTCATTAAGAATGGTGATGCGGCTTCTCAGTACCATGGTCACACCAAGCTAAGGTCCTTTTCTGGGAAAACTCCCTGTCCCAACTCCGAGTCTGACTATGATACATGGCGCAGTACTGTTGACTTCTTTCTTGTTGATCCTTCTGTGTCTGACAAACTCACTGTGAGAAGAATGGTAGAAAGCCTTCTTCCACCCGCTGCCAACGTCGTTCAACATCTTGGACCGAACTCCAGTCCCCACGACTATCTCACTCTTCTCAATTCAGCATACGGCATCGTGGATGATGGAGACGAGCTTTTTGCTAAATTTCTGAACACAAATCAAAACTCAGGTGAGAAACCTTCCAGCTACCTGCAGCGGCTGCAGGCAGCTTTGAGTAAAGTGGTTAAGCGAGGTGGCATTGCCACTGTTGAATTCGAACGGCAGCTCCTCAAGCAATTTTGTAGGGGTTGTTGGAACAACAGTCTCATCATAAGTTTGCAGTTGGAGCAAAGGAAACCCCCCCCCATTCTCAGAGCTGCTCCTTCTGTTGCGCACAGATGAAGACCGCCAAGCTGCGAAATCAAACAGAATGAAACAACACTTAGGGTTTTCTAAAACCAAAGTCCAGTCGAACCCTCTTTCTGTCAATGACTGTACCCTTGATGATTCTGATATGGCAGCTACAGCCTGGTCTTCTGTTGAGACCCGCAAATTAGAACAGCAAATTGCCACGCTACAAGTACAGATAGCTTCACGCAAAACATCTTTGAGCAGCAACTCAGCTCTCGAAGGATTTGCTAGGCTAAACACTTCAGATGAATGTATCCTCATTGAACAGCCTAGCATGTCCACACTACCTGGTGGTATCTTTGTAGAGTGAGGTCTTGTGAACAGGCCCAAGGAGCACCCTTACAAGTTACCAGTATGGGTAAGAAACGAGAGTGAACATGACGTAACACTTCCTTGTAGTTGTGTTATTGCAGAACTTCATGTTCCTGCATCAATTCATGACAACTTACCTGCTTCTCATGAGGACGCCAGCACTGTTCAGTGTTGTGCAGTTTCCCCTCAGTCAGCTCCTGAATCCAAGAAGTCAGGTCTTGCCTTCGACTTCAATGAATCCCCCCTCCCAGAAGAGTGGAAGGACAGGATAACAAAAGCTTGAATACCTATGCTGATGTGTTCGCTCAGCATGATCTAGATTTCGGCCACACATCCAAGGTCGAACATCACATTCACTTGAGAGACGAAACACCTTTCAAACAGAAGTCAAGACCAATACACCCTAACGATTATGAAGCTGTAAGGAAACATCTACAAACGCTTCTGGCGGCAGGAGTGATTCGTGAATCCGAATCACCCTATTCTTCGTCAATCGTGGTGGTCCGGAAAAGAAACGGCGATGTCCGGCTTT